AAAGGAAAGATCAAATTTCGACCAAAAAAAGAGACAAGAGTAAAGAAAATGCTGATTAAGGAACCAAAAAATACTAGTAAAAATGGGGTCTTTACCACAGGCTTCAGCTGCTGGCAGCAAAAAGCTTCCTCAAATTGCTGAACTTCTTGAGAGAAATTCTGGAAATAAGGAAACATTAACTCAGTTTCTGCATACATTTATTTTTCGGTTCCTTTTTCTTGATTTTCTATATTATTGATGAGAGAGAAAGAAAGAGAAACTGTATCTCTAAGTGTATGTATACAGAGTAGATAGGAGGAGAGTTGCTTTAATGGAGGGGGTTGTTTTATAGGTGTCACTTTGTCAGTGCAAACAAACAATAGCTTCACCAGCAGCTGCAGCTATAAATAAGAGAGAGGAATCTGATATTTTTCACAGTAAAAAGGAAAAGGGTGAAAATAGTTTTTACTTTTTACTATGCCAATAGTGCCACTAGTAGAAGATAGTGATGCAAATTACCAGTTTTATTATTGCAAAAATTGTAAGACAAATCAAAATTTTTACTTCACTTATAGTTAAAGGCTTATTTGCAAAATAAATCACAACATTTACTTTTAATTTTGTCAATTTAAGGAACGATTTTTTATTTTTTACAAACTAAGGCATAAACCAAGAAACATAGAACTACAACTTCTATCATATGTAAAGTAAATTAGAAAAAAATAAAAGACACTGTAAAATTACCATTTAATACAACTTGTCATCGTAAGTTACATAACAGTAAAGATCAAAATCATGTTTCTCCAAATAATCTTATCGATCAAGACAACAAACTTACATTGAAACTATGACTCGTAAACATGATACTATTGCCGACTTAAAACCAAAAACTACCGATTTAGATCTTAAATGTGTTGCCTCACACTAAAATCTTAATTAGAGCCTCCATGAACGAAGAACATCTATTACTACTTCAACCCAGATTTATCGATGTCGATGCCATATCAATTTATAGATGCTATCTGGTGCAATAGGTAATTTAAAACTTAATATTTTATATTGCAATTCTATATATATATATATATATATTATCCAACACCATCGATCACCAATAACTAAAATTTAAGTCCATACATCAATTTGTAAAAATTTAAAAGTCACGTCTTAAACTGTTAAAATTGCAATTTTGTGCTTGAATTGCAATTAAAGTAAAGATGGTGATTTATTTTGTAATTTGGCCTATAGTTAACTACAGTTCAAGACATGATTTTTTTTTCTTTTACAAATTGAGACCTATACTTAGGTTTCACCTATCGGTAAATAATGTATCCAACGATATTTATAATAATTTGCAATATAAAGAAAAAATTATTTTAAACTCATTCACTAGGCTGCGTTTGGTAATTGGTTTTTCAGCCAACTTTTAGCTGTTTGATCATTTTATAGCTTATTTGACTTGTTGACCAGCTAATAATTGTGTTTGGTAAATTGACTTTTTCACTTAGCATTTTGCTCCAAAAAGTCAATTTGGAAAACGCTACAATTAGCAGCATTTCCATTCAACTTTTTGATGACCACTACTAACATAATTGTTTTCTATTGTTTTAAAATACTTAAAAAAAAATGAAGGACATTATTAACATAAGTATGTTACGGAGAAAGAAAGCATAAATTAGCACTTAAAAAAAAAAGAGAAAACAATAAATTAAAATGAAAACACTATTGACATGTTTATTGCCCTTGTATTTGTTAAAACACTATTAACATATATGGATGTTATATTATTATTACTATTATTATTATTTAATTATAAAATAACTCTATTAAGTATTAAAACTATAAATGAATTGACATTTAAATAATTATAACTACAATTAATTAAAAAATAACTATAATATTGATAAAAGTAACTAAAATATTGGTAATTAATAAAAAATATTTGATTTAACCAAATATAATTTTAATTAGCACATTTAGTTAGCACTTATTTCATGTGAGTGTTGCTTTCAGTTTTTTAAAATTCAGTCAATAGGCTATTTGAAAGATAAGGATAAAAATTTTGTTGTCATTTTTTTAATACCAATTTGTAAGTTTCTAATTTATATTCCTTCTTTTATTTTACTTTAATTATAATAAGTATGAAAACTTAATTTAATTTAAGAATCAATTAACTTTTGTTGATACAAAAATAATTACATAAATACAAATGGTATTTATTGCTTTCTAATTAGTATTTATATAATAAAATAAGTAAGTTAGTAACATTAAATATATTTTTACAAATCAATCAGCTATTTAACCAAACATCTTTTTTAGAACCGCTAACAGTATCAGCCGGTCAAAACAACTAATACTAACAGCTGGTCAAAACAACTATTATAATCCGCTATATATCCGTTAAAGCTAACCGCTAATTACCAAACAAGACCTATATCATATAGCAAATATAAAAATAAAAACAAACAATTTGGCATCAACAGTGGATTTTAACTAGGTCTTACCAGGGTAAACTTTGAATTCATTCTGCCATTATATGATAATGAAAACATCTCTTAAGGTAAAAAAACCCACAAATTAATATGAAGACTTGTAATTTGACAGTACAAAAAAGATTCTAGCCACGCTAGATCGGTTCAATACATATTTTATCAATGAATATGTTTATTTTTCTTAAGAAAATATTATATTTCAAACATAATTTAAATAAACATATATAAATATAAATATATTTTCATTTAAAAAATGTAACAAGTTCTTTTTATGTCCCTTCAGTGCTTCCAATTTCCATAATAGCTTCAAACAAAGGACTAAAAATTCAAGTTAATTATTATACTTTTTGCTTTTTCGCCTTAAAGGAAAGAGCTGGTGTGCTTTTTATATTCCAGGTGGAGGGACTGCAAATTGACAAAAGCGAATATATATATATATATATCACCATGATATCATCAACCATTAATTTTAATAGTTTTCTTTGTATAATATAAATTTGAAAAATAACATAAGGACAAAAATGAAAGGGACATCAAACAGTATTAAGTTTTGTATCCGACCTAACAGTAGAGTCAACTGTTGGCTCCGTTATGGAGCCAACAACCAATGGGACAGCTCTATGTGGGGCTGTTCCACACGAGTCTAATGTGGCACAGTCCCACATAGAGCTATCTCATTGGCTGTTGGCTCCATAACAGAGCTAACAATTGGCTCTTTAGCATTATTGTCCGACCTAATACCATAAAATGTCCTTTGTTTACCTTGGAAATTGCAGTAAGCTGTTCATAGGCTGCAATACTTAATCAATATTTTAAATTCTAATTTCATATTTTAAAAAATAATAAACAGAAAATATGACATTTCAAAACATAAGAATACGTTTTTATTAAAAAGTATCGCAGGTCAATCACTTAAAGGTTATGCCGCTGTCAATTAAAGATTTGAGTATAAATTGGTGTTCTTTTTATTTGTATTGTATTTCTCGGTATATTTTGTCTATCAACACATTAATTAATATTGTGTGAAAATTGTGTCTATCAACAACTAGCTAAACGCAATGTACGAGACGACGTATCATTAGTTGTATATTATGAAATGTCGTAATTTTATTTATATTGTACTGTGTCGTTTTTATATTTGAAAGTACATATATGTGTTGATAAAATATGATTGACTAACAACATATTATTGACTATCATTGACTAAATAGTTCAAGGAGGACCATATATTTGATTACACTCAATTTTGACATGTGTTAAGTGATATGAACTTTGCATTTTGTATATAACTAAAATTGGTTAAAACAAGCATAAAGCACATGGTTTATGTATAACCCATTTTATTTGAGAAGTGTTGGCTATAATAAGCGAATATATCACCAACCCAAATAGTAATAAATTTTTCCATATATAGCTCCCACTATATATGCCTTGAAATTGACCTATTCATACCCCCACAATAATAGGACAAAGTCAATAATGGGTTATGGGTTGTGGGTCAAATTTGTGGAGCCATATGTAATAATTCAATGTGCTCTTGCTTTATGGGGTTCACATAATTTATGAACTAAACTTAGGTTAGTATATATTCTTTTTTTTATTTGTTTTTTTCAAACCACGAAAATTGTAATTAGTGGGTCTAGCAAGTTAAAAGGGAGTTAAATGGATTGTTTTTAGTGTCCTAATTGTATTCTTAAGCAAATGTGTATACATTTATTATGAAATGTTATATTTATCAAAACAAATTGAATAATTGATTTTATAAAATTCTAAAAACATTTATATATATGAATTATGATATTGGAAGTGTTAGTAATTAGTATTACTAAGTAGACCGTTTGTATCTATTTGAATTGAGTTAGATTTTATCAATGTGTCAAGTTTCATCAAGGACTTGGTGGTCATATATAATCAACATGTATGAGAGAAGTATTATTGTTTCTTCAGATTGTTCTAGTTTTTAACTAAAAATAATTAAGGTTGTTTCCTTAATTAGCCAAACCTTAATCTGAAAAGATTGTATAGTGATGATAAAAACAAACATTAAAATGAACTAGCACACGTTTTTTTCTCCAAATCATATCACATGTAGATGTTAATCATAGATGGTACTCTAAATTATTAGTCCAATTGTCCATCATCAATATCTTATTTTTTATTATCTTTAGGTTCAGCTTGAAGATCGAAATATAGTATGAAATAAGGGAAAAAAAAAAAAATGTTGGTACAAAGCTTCTTGTAAAAAAAATTTGCCAAACATTCAAAGTTAAACTTTATAACACTTTTCAGTCAAATAAACACGATCTCTGATATTTTATAAAATTTCTGCCGTTTTGCTTTCTGTATCGGGTGACTTACTAAGTTATAAAAACTAGTATTTGAATGTGCCGTTTTTCTATTATTGCTTTGTTTTTAAGAAAAAAAAACCATTTAGATGCACCTAGCACCAGTTACAAAGTGGAATCAATTAAAAATGATAAGATTAATAATTTTACCCAGATAGAAAATACCTCATGGCGTACGTGATGAAGGAAAATTAATTGTTTAATAAATTTATAATAAAAAATATAAAGTTGGAAAAAAAAAGTAAAGGATGATATATAAAATTAAAATGAGATGTTGTAGCCTAAAAATGTGGACAAAAGGTTCTAACCAACAGTTGGGACCAAATACTGGTGTTCGAATTTGCCTTTGAATTATAATACTCTCTCCGTTTATTTTTAATTGTCGTTTTAGCTTAAAAAAAAATACGTATTTTAAGGAATAGTTATCTTATCTTGTAGTATTAGATTTTTCTAAATTTCTTTAATATTTTGAAATACTTTTTTAATAATTTTCTATCTCATTTTGAGTTCTTCATGATAGTTTTATATCTGTATCTCTCTCTTTCTCAGTTATCTGTATTTCTCTCATCACTTTTTCACGAGATAAAAGTTCATGATTATCCAAAACGACAATTAATAAGCAAAAATAAAAGTTCTGTATCTCTCTCCTTCTCAGTTATCTGTATTTCTCTC